AAATTTTTAGTAAAATCAATGTTGATTATTGTCCAAAATCAGGAATATACATTTATCTTTTTATACCTAGTAACTTAGAATGTGATTCACTCCTTTATAGGTTCTTTTTATTTCAATATTAGAATACATTCCTAGCCATTAAAAAGACTTTCATTCATTTATAATTATAATTATAATTATGAAGGTGCTGGGCTATGCCTCAGGCCTAACTAAACAATTGGCTTCTAGAAAGAAAAAAAGTGGCCATTATGTGTAGACAATTTATTTTGGCAGTCTGTAAATAACCTGATTTTTTTTTTTTTTTTTTTTTTTTTTTTTTTTTTTTTTTGAGATGGAGTCTTGGCTCCGTCACCAAGGCTGGAGGGTAGTGGCACAATCTTGGCTCACTGCCACCTCCACCTTCTGGATTCAAGCCATTCTCCTGCCTCAGCCTCCCCAGTAGCTGAGATTACAGGTATGCACCACGACACCCAGCAAATGTTTCTATTTTTAATAGAGACGGGGTTTCACCATGCTGGTCTCAAACTCCTGACCTTGTGATCCACCTGCCTCGGCCTCCCAAAGTGCTAGGATCACAGGTGTGAGTCACCGCACCCAGGCAAAAAAAATTTTTTTTGAGACAAAGTCTCACTCTGTTACCTGTGCTGGAGTCTGGAGTCCAGTGCCATGATCTCGGCTCACTGCAACCTCGGCCTCCTGGGCTCAAGATATCCTGCTGTCCCAGTCCCCATGCCAAGCAGCTGGGATGACAAGTGTGTGCCCCCACACCAAGCTAATTGTATTCTTGGGAGAGACAGGGTTTCACCATGTTGCCCAGGCAGGTCTCCAACTCCTGAGCCCTTCTCAGCCTCCCAAGGTACTAGGATTACAGGCATGAGCCACAGTGTTTGTTTTGCTACAGGAATTCTTTCAACATTTTCTCTAAGTGTTTTTCTACCGTGTGATCTTTTATTTGGTACCTGGCCTTGTGAAAACAATGTAATTAGCACACCTTGTTGGCTTCATATTATGGTCCAAATTCAACCATCTCCTAACACTACTACCACTCCACTCCGGTCCCAGTCACCATCGTCACTCTCCTAGAGGACTGCAGTTGCCTCATTGTCAGATACGGACGGCCGCAGAAGGGGCGATTTTGAAAAGGAGAGTTCAAATGAGGACAGGTTTAGCTTGCCGTAATTTTTGGCTAGACAGATCCAAATATAGACTTGACAATCCGAATATTCTTCAAGAGATTCAGGAAGCCTTCCTAGTTGATTGAATTCATGGCATGAGGGACTTCAGAAGCCTTTGCTCCCCAGAAACCACCGGCTCCACCCTTACTCCCACCCACAGACTTGGGCATTCAGGGATGTGTTGGCCACCTGGTGTTCACCAGGTTCCCTGGCTGCCTACTTCACCAGGAACTTGGGGTGGGAACACTTTCCATGTCTATCTGGACCCTCCCTCCCACCTTTCCATCCTCCCCGTTTGTCTGCACTTTAAGGTCCAGGAAAACTCGGGGCCAATAAGTTCATCCTAAGAAAAGAGGACAGCACACCAAAGGCTTTGCATCTTAGGTAGCTTATTTTATTGGATTGCTTTGCCAATATAACACTTCCTTACATTCAGACTTCCCTCAGAAACGTGCCTAGAAGGCATCAGAGGGACAGGACTCAACCCAGAAATTCAAACTTTCTTCAGTGTCTTTCATGTCTTTCTCATCAAAAGCGAAGCGAAGACTTCTCCTCTCATCTGCACTTCCCAGGGGAGATCAGTCCTTAATTATGGATAGAGTGAACTCAGCTGGAATCCCGAACAGCCAATCATTTGGTAAGGGGAAGGCTGAGGAACGCTAAGACACACGGTTCCACTTATTCTGGGAGCCAAGGACAGGTCTCCAGTGTATGGTGGCACACTAATGGAGGTGAGCAGGTCATCGTTGGTCAGGGGCTGGCTTCGGACACGTTCCAGCATCTCCAGGCCTACAAAATAAGTGCCCAGGACTGATGAACCAGGGCCCATAACTGGGGCCCAGGGGAGGCCTGGACTCCACCAGGGACATTGCAGGGAGGATGTCACCCCAGCCCTGGCCTTCCAAGGTAACCCATTTACACCTCCCGCTACCTTCTCCAGCTTAAGCAATCTCATGCCACAAAAAAATGAGCACTTTTTTTCCCCAATGGACTCTGGGAAGCACCTGGATTCCCCGGCCACACAAAGGATTCTTCAAGAATCCAAGATGCCACAAAACTCAGCCAGAACTCCACCATCAAGGCCCTCCACTACCACAGTTCAGCCGAGGATACCTACCTCGAGCATGACGATAGGAGTCCTGGCTCCCCACGCAACAGAACATGTGCAGCAGCCACTGCCTGGCCCTGTGTGGTCCCACTACAGTCACACGAGTCTGCCCTGTAGCTGTGAACCAGCTCTCCAGCTGAATAAGGGTGTGGCTGTTCATCTCGATGCAGCTAAGGTATGTGTCTCTGTGCCCTATGAGCAGAAGAGGTGAGAGGAGGGAATGTCAGCCACCAGCCCTTGGGGAGTGGGGAGGTGGCTTTTGGGGAAGGGATCTGAGAATTATGAAGGTGGCAGAGTAGGGAAAGATTGAAAATCAAGAAGACAAGGCTGAAGGAGGGGATATTAGCAGGGGCTACTCACCAAAGATAAGTTCCTCCTGGTCCTCTTCCATGTAGAACATCATTGGAGCACAAAAGTTTTCAGGCAAGGTCCACCACGGCTTCTTGCAGAGAGCACTCGTTCCCATGTCCATGCTCTGCTCCCACCTGTTTTGGAAGAGGGGCAAGTCCAAGCAACTGGTTGGCAAAGGACTTGGAAAAAGTGAGGAAGGGCCCAAGCTCTGTCCTTAATAAGGAATCCAAATGACCCGCCCCTTCAACCACCTTAGGATGGGTTCCAATCCCCATAGCTCTTCCCAAGATTTTTCATTCCAAGTAATTATCTGCTCTGAGCTTAATACCTTCAAGCCAAACTTAATCATCTCATTAGCACTTGCCTATCAGAGATGGTGGAATCAAAAATTTTCTTCACTCTAAATTCAAAAGATGTTGGAGCAGATCTACTGGGCATTAACCAGGGCAGGGTCTGAACGACGGAGGTGCAGGGAGGCTCCAAATGGGCTCCCAGATTTGTACAGGTGTCGGCAGCCACCCATTGACCACACAGTGTATTGCATCAAGGGAGAGCAAACACAGGAAAATAAACTTTACACAGAGGGTTGTAGGAAGCCGATTATAGGAGTTGATTAGGTGAATGTAAGGAGTGTTCGGGAGCAGACAACAGTTTTCTAAAATGGCGCAATTTAGTGATTATCCTGGTAAATGTATCTAGGAAGGGAAATAGAGAGATTACTACAGCCTTCAATGCAGAATGTTATCAATCTGTGGTTTCAAATATAGTTACAGATGAACTGTCAACATCTTGTCGTGTGATAATCACTGAGCAATTTTGACTGGTTAAAATATTTTGCAGGAGGCCGGGCACAGTGGCTCACGCCTATAATCCCAGCACTTTGGGAGGCCGAGGCGGGTCGATCACGAGGCCAAACGATCAAGACCATCCTGGTCAACATGGTGAAACCCCGTCTCTACTAAAAATACAAAAAATTAGCTGGGCATGGTGGCGCGTGCCTATAATCCCAGCTACTCAGGAGACTGAGGCAGGAGAATTGCCTGAACCCAGGAGGCGGAGGTTGTGGTGAGCCGAGATCGTGCCATTGCACTCCAGCCTGGGTAACAAGAGCGAAACTCCGTCTCAAAAATAAATAAATAAATAAATAAAATATTTTGCAGGAGTTGTTTGTGTTTGGTGGAGGATTCAACTATGCCTGTCACCTCCCAACTGCAAGTTCCTAGGTGCCTTTTTACTCTTCAACCTTCCCTTTTGACCAAAGACAGAATCAGCCATCAGGACTTTCAATTGTGGGGTTCAGATCTACACCATTGTCAGAATCCACTTGTCACAAGTTTATTGGGAGAACCCTGGCTGCGTCTGCATACAGTTGGTCTCTCGTGTACATTTTGTTACTAAATATATGTAGTGAAAATATACTGACTGCACAGTAGCATTTAAGACTGAACAGGATATACTGGTCAAATACAGGTATAATTGTTAGAAACAAAATAATTATGAATCCTTGTAATCCTAGTAATAGGTTGCAAAAACAAAGGCTGATTTCAAAACCAGACCCTAAAACCATGTCCCAAATCCATCTGAATCTGTTCTGGAGAGCCAGGTAGGCTTTTAACCTTGCCACAATACTGTTCTGCCAGAACAGTCATGTTTTACGGAGGTGCTGCAAACAGTCTTCGCTGTAAAGCAAAAGTTGTCCTTGGGTAGCCAAGAAGAAACCAAAAACTATGAAATCATTCATAACCACCATAAAACTTTATTTTAAACTGGGTTACTAGACCTCCAGAAGAGAAGTAGTGTCATCTATTGATTTCTGCTAGGACCAGAGGCACATTTTTGGACTGCCTTTTCTAGTCACATTATGCCTATTACTGGAATTGGAGCTCCCAGAGTATAGATGAAGAGGGAGTCAGTCATCTCTCCTGGAAGTTCTCCTGAATAGTCCATGCTTGCCTCATTTAAGGTCACTGAGTATCTCTCTCTAAGAGAAATATCATTTCCTGTAGGAGTAGATCTTAAAAATATTGAAAAATATTATGAATAAAATTGCCTAAAACTTACTCCATATAACACGAGATAAATTTGTATAATGATCAAGTGACCTGATATCCACATAAAAAGTAGGCCTTAGTGTTGCACAAACTGAAATGGGTGTCATTTATCACAGTGACAGCAGGACAATTAATAATCCTTCAACATGTGAAGACTGCTTGAGTGGAGCCTGGGGAGTCACTGAAGAAAAAGGACTAACACTGCAAGGAGAGACTCAATACATTATAGCAATAATGTCAGCAGACATATTTTGTTGTTTGAAGTCAGTGTTCAATATTGATAAAACTGAAGGTGAAAATTAATATTGTCAGGAAAGTTTAAATTCCAGAAGAAACCTGTAGAAGAAAATCTGCCTTTTGAAGTGTTGAATAGCTATTAAATTTTTGTTACTGGAATCAGGTAGAGGATAAAAAACTGCATTAGTCAGTCAGATTTAAAACAATAAATTGGGGAGTGGTGACTCAGGCCTATAATCCCAGCACTTTGGGAGGCCAGCACAGGCATTTAGGGGCCGGGGGTGGGCTCTGTAAGCCAAGATTTTGAGACCAGACTGAGTGACAAAGTGAGACTTTGTCTTTACTAAAAACTAAAAAAAAAATAGCCGAGTGAGGTGGTGAGCACCTGTACTCCCAGCTATTCAGGAGGCTGAGGTGGGAAAATTGCTAGAGCACAGGAGTCTGAGGCTGCAGTGAGCTAGCATCGCCACACTACTCTAGCCTGGGTCCAGCACAAAACACTGTCTCTTAGAAAAAAAAAAAAAAAAAAAAAAAAAAATTAAAAACAATGGCTATAGTCTACGAAAAAAAACACAAGAAAGTTTTTACCTTAGGTGGCAGAGAAATTCTGTACTATGGAAGATTGAAATAAAATATAATTTGTAAAAGAATCTTAAAAACTTTTGGTTGGCCTCTAGGAGACAACCAGGCACGTTGATGAGCAGAGCAAAATTTTTAAAGGAGGGCAAAGATACCAGAACACGTATCTTGTTTTATTGTCTTGGGTGAAAGTATCTACTTGGTGTCATCAGCAGCTTGATCTGAAGACACTGGTTTGGTTGTCTTCTTCCAAAGATCATTGTTCTGGAAGATACTTAAGAATCCTCAGTTTATGGTTCCTCAATGAAGTCCTTTCCACTGAGGACAAGGGTAGTTTTTCCTCTGATTTTTAGAAGTCTTTTCCAAAAGACTAAATCTTCAGGTTTCTATTCATGCAGAGACTAATTAGGTGGATATATGAGGAAGATTGTTGTTACCTATTAAAAGCTAGATGCATCAAATGAATCCTTTGTAGTATTTAGAAATGTGAGCTTGTGGTATGACAGAGTACAGGTTCAGGAAGTGAATTCCTAACTGCATGGAGTAGCCTATGGATCCCAGGAGGAGCTGATATTGCCATCAAGGCTAATAGCAATTCCCAAGACATGGAAGTTCAAGTCCTGGAAAGCGGTCTCAAATTTAGTGTTAGAATTCATTTTTTTTGGCCGGGCGCGGTGGCTCAAGCCTGTAATCCTAGCACTTTGGGAGGCCGAGGCGGGTGAATCACGAGGTCGAGAGGTCGAGACCATCCTGGTCAACATGGTGAAACCCCGTCTCTACTAAAAATACAAAAAATTAGCTGGGCATGGTGGCACGTGCCTGTAATCCCAGCTACTCAGGAGGCTGAGGCAGGAGAATTGCCTGAACCCAGGAGGCGGAGGTTGCGGTGAGCCGAGATCGCGCCATTGCACTCCAGCCTGGGTAACAAGAGCGAAACTCCGTCTCAAAAAAAAAAAAAAGAATTCATTTTTTTTTCTAATTGTTCTAAATATTAATTTGGTATAGCTAGTATGTTATTATGGTTAAAAAAAAAAAACATTTTGGAGCTGCTCTTTTATAACAGCTACAGGAAATGTGTGCCACACATACATCACACCCCGCAATCACTGAAGATATGTTGGAATTCCTTAAGTCCAGAATAACAGTCAAGCAATTTAATCAGCAACACCTTGGTTGTCTATCAGGAATACCCTCGATCCATTCTGCAGGTAGGCAGACAATGGCTAGAACATATTTACAAACCTTCAGTATGGCAACTGCTTTGGTTAATGCTATTTGTTTAGCGTAGTGGTACATTATTTCCTCAGGATTCTGGGTTATTGCACTGTGATTGTGAATCTCCATTTTATCATATAGCTAACCACTTAGGTAATAGCAAAGCTTCTAAAAGTTCTTTAATTTCTTGACATTTTTAGTGAGACTTCCTCAAGAGGTCAGAAAACCTCTTCATTTCCAAGCCGGGCGCGGTGGCTCAAGCCTGCAATCCCAGCACTTTGGGAGGCCGAGGCGGGTGGATCACGAGATCAACAGATCGAGACCATCCTGGTCAACCTGGTGAAACCCCGTCTCTACTAAAAATACTAAAAATCAGCTGGGCATGGTGGCGTGTGCCTGTAGTCCCAGCTACTCAGGAGGCTGAGGCAGGAGAATTGCCTGAACCCAGGAGGCAGAGGTTGAGGTGAGCCGAGATCGCGCCATTGCACTCCAGCCTGGGTAACAAGAGTGAAACTCCGTCTCAAAAAAAAAAAAAGAAAACCTCTTCATTTCCAAAGTTTTCTGATATGAACTAACTGATTATATAACCACTGCCTATATAAATATTTGCTTTTTTTTTTTTTTTTTTTTTAGCAGGCCCCTCCACCACAGAAATATTGCCTCTTTTAATCTCTCCTTCACTAAATGAAGGAGAACAATTCAGCCACTTGAGCTGATTTAATTTCTGGGAGAAGGTTATAAAATAATGGCAAATTTAGAATCATGATAGCATAGAATACTTGAAAAATTCTTGTTTACATTTTTAGATATTAAGCATTAAGAAGATACATTAACATTTTAAAAAGAACTTTCCTTGATATCAAATAGTCCAAGACCAACAAAAGAAAAAGAAAAAAAAATGAAATTTCCAAAATATCTGTATAATGCATAGATAGGTCCCTAAAATAGGTCAAATGATCATGAATGCTCCCTTCTCAAGTAAGAGAGGGACAGTTAGCCGGGCACGGTGGGTCAAGCCTGTAATCCCAGCACTTTGGGAGGCTGAGGCGGGT